TCTTCTGACTTTTTGTTTCGCTGCTTATTGGCCCATTGAGCAGAAAACAAGGCAGTTTTACAACTCAACTACTGAAAACACTTGCGATCCATTATTTGAAGTTCTGACAAAACTGTCCATGGATGAGATTAAAACTGATGATTGAATTAAGAGTATTAGAGTTACACATGGATTTAAAACACCTGATATGGCTGTAATTACAAATAATCATAGTCATCTACCAAATGAGTCAAAATTTCTTCTTTTACCATTTTCCTCTCTACATTTTCCCTTGTTGCACTTCTATTTCTTTATCTTCTCCCATATTCCCTCCAGTTCTTCCCGCTGACATCAAGCTCAGGGTCCTCAGGATTCAGAACTTGAGCAGAAAGCAGCTGTTTGTGCTGTTCCGGCATCCTTGGTGGGGAGAGAGATGATGTCATTTTACAGTTGAGGAGGAGGGGAGGGACGACGGACAGGGGCCTAGGAGAGCTGGGCCACTGGAAGAGGCTCTGGCCATGGAGAGGGCGGCCTGTAGCTGGGAGGGCTCCCCATTCTGGGCTGGCTGGGCTGGCCAGGGAGAATTGGAAGTAGGGGGAAGGACACATCCCAAAGCCCTTGGTTACATTTCTTGGGCCCAGGTTTGGGGGGGGGGTTGGTGAGGACGGGGAATTAGATGACCCTTCAGTTTCCATCTGGAAATGAGATTCTAAGATTCTGGATCTAGGGAAGAGGGGAAGAGGCGATACAGAACAGAGCTCAACCCCGGACCGGTAAGGATCCCTAGGAGAGTACCCGAGGCCGGCAGTGTGACCCCCCCCCCCGCCGCCCCCCGCCCCGGCTACCCCGCAGACGTGCTGCCTCCTGCCCAGAGCAACGGGAAGGCTCCTGAGCCAGTCCCACACTGCTTCACGCCGGGACCTGGGCCGTGTGGATTTGGAGGGGTGGCGAATGAGTGGGGAGCCCTGGGCCTGGGTTTGGAGAAAGCTGGGAAGGTAGTGGGTAGAGGATGAGGTGGGGTGGTGGTGGTGGAGTTCAGGGGTCCTGGGAATGGCATTCCTTTGACGTACGCTGAGTGCCCTCCCCCGCGCTTGCTGTCGTGAAATCTGTGCTGGTTAATACCTTTCTTTCCATCTCTTTGTCCTCCCCGAACCTCTCCCCCACCCCGCGTCCTGGCCGCGCTTCCTCGGGCCGCCTCCGCCCCGCCGGTCTCTTCCTTGCCGGCCCCTTCCGCATCCGCTGGTTTCCCCCCCCCCCCCCCCCCCCCCCCGACGGCAGAGGGGAAGGTGTACAGCTCGGACGAGGAGAAGCTGGAGGCACCAGCGGGGGACCCAGCGGGCAGCGAACAGGAGGAAGAGGGCTCAGGCGGTGACAGCGAAGAGGACGGTTTCCTGGACAGTTCCGCGGGCGGCCCCGGGGCTCTCCTGGGACCTAAACCGAAGCTCAAGGGAAGCCTGGGGACTGGAGCGGAGGAGGGGGCGCCGGTGGCGGCGGGAGTCACAGCTCCTGGGGGCAAGAGCCGACGGCGCCGCACCGCATTCACCAGTGAGCAGCTTTTGGAGTTGGAGAAGGAGTTCCATTGCAAGAAATACCTGAGCTTGACAGAGCGTTCCCAGATCGCCCACGCCCTCAAGCTCAGTGAGGTGCAGGTCAAGATCTGGTTTCAGAATCGGCGCGCCAAGTGGAAGCGCATCAAAGCCGGCAATGTGAGCAGCCGTTCTGGGGAGCCCGTAAGAAACCCCAAGATTGTGGTACCCATACCGGTGCACGTCAACAGGTTTGCCGTACGGAGCCAGCACCAACAAATGGAACAGGGGGCCCGGCCCTGAAGGGGCTCCCAAGGATTCTGGAAGCGAGGGATCTGTTCCCGGGCCTGCTCTGAGACTGGGTCAGGGTTCTGCGGACCAGAGGGGCTACCACTGTGATCCCGCCCTGGGAGGGGGCTCAGGTGGCAACTAACTTTAGTGCCGGGTGTGCTCTCCTGGCAAGCTGGGACGTGGGCACTGGGCCCTGCACCTATTCCAGAGACCCTCAGACTGGGGGCTTGGGTTCTCAGTGCTGAGGAGCTGTGGGGATTGAGGTGGACTCCTGGGGAGGGGGTGGGTTCTAACATGCCTAGGGCCTGAAAGGTTCCCAGCTAATGCCCTGGAATTACTTCTCACAGGGGTGGGAAGAATCCAGGATGAAACCTAGTCAAGCTGATCACAGCTCCTTATTTATTTTCTGTAAAGTTTGTATATATGGAGCTATCTGCCTCTGTCTGTCTGTCTGTCTGAACCCGAGACTGGGAAAGGTCTGCGTTCCCTCCGTCTTCAGCCAGAGTTCAGTTCCACCTTCCTGCCTTGTGGTGGGCGCTTTCCTGCCCGTCTGTAGGACAAGGGCATACAAAGGAACAGAATGAAACTGTCACTGGCCTCCTTAGAACCCCTCGGCACGCACCATCTCCGCCCACGTGAACCACCTCCACATCCCATCTGGGTGCTGCCCCCTGTCCACACCTCTAGACCTCATGTTCCTGGCACGACATTTCTTTCCTCTCTCCGCATTAAACAAGGCAAGCTGCTGCTTCTCTGCTTTCTTCTCTTTGGGAGAGTTGGCAGACTTCAGAAGAGGAGGTTCGCTCCCTTTTGTATTATGAGGGGAAATGAAGTACTTGAGCCTAGGTTAGCTGAGGTATGTCCAGGCCCTAACTCGGTAGAGGTTACCAGTCCTGTTCGTGACTAGGGCAGTCTGGGGGCTCACCCTTATCACCTGTTGGCTCAGTCTTTTTCTGTGCAGAGGACACAGCAGCTGAGTCCATCGCTGCCCCCCCGCCCCCGCTTTGGTATTCCAGATGGGAGGGCCTGGAGTAAGACTCATTTCCAGTTCTGTTCTTACTGCATTAATTGTGGGGTCTCCTCCTTGCCACCGTATGGCTCATGCTGCTTGGCATACCAGAGCCTCTTCATTTGTAAAGTGAGCTGGGTTGAGAGGGCCCGCTGCAAAATGAATGAGGCTGGAGCGAATGTGTGATGTTCTGGACGGTTGTGTACCGTGGGGGAAGCTACAGAGACTGGGAGCTTCGGGTTTGGGGTTCTACGGGCAGACGAAGGAACGGCCTTAGTGGACAAAGTAAAGGTGAGGACCGGGGACTTCAGGGGCACTTGGGTATACCGGGAGGGGAAACGAGACAAACTCAAGTTATCTGCCGTTCCCCCCCCCCCCCCCCCCCCCCACAGAAGGGCTGCTGTCCTGTGCCAGCTCTGGAGCTGGGCTGCACAGATGCGGGAGAGAGGAGGGTTACAGGAACCAGCTGAGGTTGGGAGCGTGGTAAGCGGGGCTTCCCGGGAAGAAACGTGACCTGCGCGGAGTCGGGAGGAGAGCCAGGGTAGAGAACAGAGCCACTGAGAAGAAAAATCGGCAGGCCTGTGAGCGGGGCAAGGAGACTCAGGAAGTTACGGTCTGGGAGGGAAACACAAGCTCAAGTACCTGGCCAGCCTCATCACCGTCCTCAGAAAAGTGCTGCTGTGCCCGGTTCCTGCGGCGGCACGCCAACCACTATTTCCTCAAACATCTGCACGCCTCGTATGAGCAGACAGGCCTTCTGTGGCAGTCCCTGCTCCCCTGGCTGGTTTTGGCAACCAAACAGAAAGCGACCTGGGGTTGTGACTGGTTATTCACTACAGTGTCAGTTCCCTAGTTGGGACACACGGATGCAGGGCAGGTCTTCTCGATTTGGCTAAATTTCAGCAAGGCTTGGAAATCAGGCTAAAAAAACGTAGTCCACACCAGCCCCATTCCTGATCTAGATTAAGGCAGTCTCTGCCCACATAAGGAACCTATGGGGTTAGATTCTTTTCAGGAGAGAAGCCAGGCAGCAGTTGGAGATCTCAGGAGCTATTATTGTCCCTTGGCTGTTGGGAATTCATGTCTATGGGTCTAGGGCTAGAGCAGACGCTGTCTGCGTGTGTGTGCGTGCGTGCGTGTGTGTGTGTGTAGGGGGGGAGACCAAGGTCCCGATTTACCATTTTCCTCTGGATTTACCTACGAAGCCTCCTAAACTATACCAGGCAGTATTCAGCCACTTGAGCGGCTGGTTTTCTTTAGGGAAAATAAAGGAGGGGATTATTGGTAGTAACTTCTGGGCCCAGGAACCCATTAGTGTACAGACCCAAGGCCCTGTTTCAGTTCTACTCTTCTCTTTGCTTAAGGCTCTTACTGGCCTTGCAAAGTGGCTGTGGACCAAGAAAATACAGTCTGGTTTCCCCTCTGAAAGCACTTGCTTGGTTACCTACCTGCACGCAGGCAGGTGCCCCCAGACAGTGCCAGCCCTGCCACACCCCGCTCATTAAGTGGTGCAGAAAACAAGGGCCATGAGCAAAGTGGTTGTAGGAATGGGAAAACAGGCTCCTTGGAGAGCAGGGACCTTAACTTGGCAAGTTCTCATCCTTCAAGAAAGGTAGAGAGGGGTTTCCCCTCGGGTCTTTCTAGGATCAAGGACGGTCGATCAAGGACGGTCGAAGGGGAAAACAGGAGCTCAGGGTTCTGCCCCCAGCTTGGCAAGATGTTGGTGGGAATCCAGGTGGCTGTTCTGCCATCAGTGACCTACCTCCTCCCCTTTCCTCAAAAGCAAAGCCTCGGCATGAGGCCCCAGAGAAGTGCTGTCCTGGTAACATCTAACCACTTACCCTTGTGGCATCCTCAGAATTCTGGTCCTGTGCCTTGAGTATCTCCCTGTATGTCTGGCTGTGAGAATTCCCAGTGTCTTGGGAAGGCGGGTGATACTTCTGTCCCTCTGTGGGTGAGCTCTGGCTGGTACCAGGTGTGGCATGAGGTTACTGGGCACCAGCTGGAGGGCAGGGGCGGAGTGTGGGGGGGAGGGGAAGGCAGCGCAGAGATTCCAGTAGGAAGCACAGAGCTCCGAACCTCCTCCAGGGTTCGCTGCCAGTGCTGCCGGCCGACTCAGAGTCTGAGTACAGACAGCAACAAAGGAGTAGAGCTGAAGGGCATTTCTGGAAGGGCAGAGATAGAGGGACAACAAGGCCACACACAGTCTGGTTTACTGGCTCATCATACACACACACCAGGTATGTACACAAACATAAATATTCCAATGTACAAATTTACATGGGACTCACAGATCACTTTCCTTTCCTCCAGCACCACCCCGCCCCCCAACCTGTGCCCTATCCGTCCCGGCTCCGTTCTAGGACGAAGGCTGGCAGGGGGCTGGCAGGAGAAGGCAGGAATCTGGAGGAGGGCGAGGTCCTGCTCCCCTCTCCTCACAGGTACCTCCGAAGGGTCCTGTCCCTTTCCAGTGGCACCGTAGGGCAGAGGGCTGGAAGAGCTCCACTCCCTCTCTGCTGCAGCTCAAATCCCAGAGGTCTCCTCTGGTCCCTCTGTCTCTCCCATTTAGCTCTTCTCTGCTTTGACGACTCTTCATTTCCTCTCCTTCCTTTCTGCACGTCCCTGCTTCTCAGTCTCTGTGTCTTGGCTCCCCCCAGTGCCTGTCGGGAGGAGGGGCCCCAGGCCACAGAAGTCCTCCTGGCCCCTCTGCCCTGTCCGCGAGCCTCAGAGAAGGCTAGGACTTCGGTGCAGCTCAGCAGAGGCATTGGTGCCATTGGCAGGCTCTCTGTTGGGGGTAGGTGCTAAGCCACAGCCCTCCCCGGGGCAGCCGTGCTGGATCAAGATGTCTGCGCACTCCTGGCTGCCGGCCCGACGGGCATAGGCCAGCGGAGTCAGGCCCCGGGCGTCCCGGCTCCGCACGTCCACCCCATACTGCAGAAGAAAGCACATTTTCACAGTTGGCACGATGTGGCAAGAACGGTAGGGGGTTCTTGGAGAGGTGGCTCTCAAAGGGCCGGGGGGGGGGGGGGGGGGGGCGGGGCTCAGGTCAGAGGGGCCCTCGAGGGTGGGACTGGCAAGGCCGGGAGGGAGCCCACAACTCACCCAGATGAGCAGTTGTGTGAAGACGACATTGGCCATGGCGCTGGAGAGATGGAGAGCCGTCCGCCCGTCCCCATCGCCGTAGGTCTCGTTCACCTCCTCCTTGGACCCGTGTGCCAGAAGCATCACGAGCAGCCGCAGGTCGTCCTCCACCACGGCCCGGAGCAGCTGCTGGCCCAGCGGCACGTCCGAGCTCGGCAGCGGGGCCAGGAAGAGCTTCTGTTCGTACTTGGCCCGGATCCAGCGCTCCTTCTCCTCTCTGCAACCACAGGTCCATCAAGGCACGAGCCAAGGAAGGGCCCGAGCCAACGGGCGGAGCCCGGGGAGGGTGGTCAGGGAATGACACGAACACCCCGAAGGGGAATAGGGAGAAACAGAGAAAGTGTAGGACGGAGCAACGAAGAGACGAGCCTAAGAAATGGACAGCATACAGCGGGGGATGCAAAGGGGGTGGAAGAAGCTGAAAGGAAGGAACACTGAAGGGAGGCCCCTCGGGGGCAGCAGGGACGTAGGGGGCTGAGAGGGCAGCAAGATTCTAGGCAGGGCCCCTGTGGTAGCTTATCTGGCCCTGCTGCAACAAAGGGGGTGGGGGGCCTCCGCCAGGGGCCCATGCACTATCCTATCTCCCACCCATTCTCCCCATCTCCGAGCTCGGGGCGAGGGCCTTCACGAGGGCCTTCACGCCACTGAGCGATAGGGCCCTGCGCATGCGCCTCCTGCTGGCCCCTGACCTGCTGATAAGGCTCAGAAAGGGCCTCTTGTTGTGAGGAGCCTGAGTGACAGGCGGGGAGGGGGAGGGGCACCCCAAGGGGCCAACTGCCAAGCAGAGCAACGGCCACTTTTAACCCTTAGAGAGCGCAGCTGTAGCCACTCGGCGGCTCCTCCGGCCCCGTCCCTCTCTCCTCCATACCAGAGCAGCAACGCCCCCTCCCTTTCTGGCCAGCTTCAGCGCCCCCGCCAACCCCAACCCCAACCCCAACCCGCCCACTCACCTGCAGGCGTCAGGCCCGGGCTTGGCATAGCCATCCAGGGCCCCCTCCCAGACGCTGTTGGCCAGGGCATTGCCCATCGCAGTCATGACAGCCAGCAGCTCAGGCGGCCAGTCATCGAGGTCCAGGGAGCGGACCCGGGACAGGTGAGCCCCCAGGTGTCGGTGGGTCCCTGAGCACTCAATGCACATCAGGGCACCCAGGTTCAAGCTGGCCCAGTCTGGATCTAGGTGAGGAGAGGAAGCAGCGGGAGTGAGGTCCACGGGCAACCAGAGTGAGACCACCGGGCAAGTGCTCTCCCCTCCGTCCCCCTCAGGGCCCACCGCAAGCCGCTCGTCGAGCTTTCCCTAAGCCGTCCGGCCCCAGCCCCGCCGGCCCCCGCACTCACTGGGGGCATCGCAGTCGATACAGAAGCTGTTGCCGCGAACAGTGCGGACGGCCTGCACGGCCAGAGCCGCGTTCTGGTTCCCCAGCCGAGTCTGTGCCATGGGAGAGACAAGGGGCGGCCGGTCAGTCTCGAGGCCACCTTGGGTCCCACCCCAGGGGGGCCCCCGTGCCAACCTTGTCCTTGGCGCTGCGGCAGCCCTGCAGGCTGGCGAGGATCTGGGCCTGCACACTCTGGACCCACAGTTCCCGCTCCTCTGCCGTTGAGGCCTCGAAGTGCCACGTCTGCCCGGTGAGGGACACCACCACAAACTCAAACGACTCCTCTGCCTCTGTGGGAGACCGGGGTGCTTACCCACCGGCAGGGCAGGGCGCCCCGCCGTGCACATAGCCAGGGACACGCCCCTGCCACAACTCTGCGCGCCGGCTGGCCCGGCCAGTGTCCTCTGCCCCCCCGGCCCCGGCCTCAAAGGCCATGCTCCTGGGGCAACTGGGAGTCGTGCGGAGGAGGGCTCACCCCCTCTGTTCCTAACCACCTGTGGGGCCTGGGTGAAGAGAGGCGGGGTTTTTCGCCTCCCTGGCACGGCCAGGAATGGGTCTGGAATTCAGAGTGGGGTGCCTTCCGGAGAAACGAGCGGAGTGTCTGGAGAAGGGTGCAATGGGGCGCTAGGAGGCAATGCTGGAGAGGGTGGGGGAGGGCGGGTGTGGGCACCATCCGTACATGTCAGCTGCAGCCGCCTCATTTTGCAGCTCATTAAACCCAATATTCCTGACGGCGTCAGCGTGGGGCTCCTGGGAGCCGGGCCCCTCCCCCACTACCCTGGCGTAGGCAGGAAGGATGAGTGGATGGGGAGAGGAGGAGAGGTTTTCCCCGCAAACTGGGATGTGTGAGCAGACGGGGAGCCGAGGACAGCTCCGGTGACAGGCACTGTGGGCCGGACTGTGACCCCAAGCAACGTGGTGAAGCTGGTCCAAGCTCTGCTCCCCTTAGGCCAACAGAAGACAGCCACCCGCATCTCGCTGCCAACGGTCACCACCCTGTGGGTGAACAATCCCTAACAAGCAGCGTGCATGTGTCACGGGGGCGCGGGGAGAACTCAGGGACCTGGGGGTAGGCGCAACGCTGAGCTAGAGGCCAAGGCCCGAGTCCCAGGCTCTACCCAGGACAGCCTCTCACCTCAGTGACATTCCCTGGAAGTCTTCCTGCTGGGCTCCTACTCTAAGGGCACCCCTAACAGGAACTTCTTCCTAGAGCAAGAATGCTGGTGCCCCTTCCTCCCCCAGGCTCCACCATTCCACCTCACCTTGCTTTCAACACAGCCCCTGAACCACAGAGTCGCCATCCTGTGGGGCGGGGGGGGGGGGGGGGGGGGCTCAGTTCCCTGGTACAGGTGACCCCATGCCATGAATGCTAAACACCACCATACCACAGGTAGGCTGGGAAAGGTAACTCTTCCCCACGGAGGCGATCTCCACCCTCCTGCCCACATCCCTACCCCTGGCAATCGGAGCAGACGTGAGACACTATGCATCGATATAGGTTAAAATTATTTGGGAGCGAAAGGATTCCAACCACTGAGAAGAGGAACAATTTGAAGACACTTTGGAGAAAAATCAGAGGAGTGCTATGATTAACATTAGATTATAAGAAAGGCCCCACCGAAAAATGTTTGAGGAGCTGGAATTCCTTAGCCTAAAGACGAGTCAGGAGAGACTTAACCAGTTCCTACACACGTATTAAGCACCTATTCTATGCCCAGCACTCACTAAGCTCAATGGGTGATACAAGAGACACAGAAAACATAGGTCCTGCCCACAAGTCTTGGAAGAGCTACTGGAGTAGCCACCTGCTGCCTTTTACCTTCCATAAGGAATAAAAGAAAGGCTCACATTTTAGTAGAAAGGGTTTAAATTAGGCAGAAGGAAGAGCTTTTCTAAGATACTAGGTCTAGATTACCCAAAGAAGTTGTGGAACTATGGTTATTGCTAATCACCACAAAGTACTTACTCTTAAAACGGAAAATGGTGTTACCTTTAGAGTACTATCCCCGAATCCCACAGCCCACCTCCTGTGCCCCAGTTTCCCTGTAGGTCCCCCTAACCTTCAGCAGCACTGCTGGGGCCGTCTGGTCGGGGGGTCCCGGTGCTCTTTTTCCGCCGGTGCTTCTTCCGGTTGGAGTGGGGAGATGGGGGAGGCTCCAGCTTGGGGCTGGAACTGAGCACCTCAGCTGGGCCACTGGCTGGTGAGGGGAGAGGCGGAGAAGTGTGGGAAGAAGGGACAGTGTGGGGGGGGGCAGAGCACACGACCTGCCTCGACCTGCCTCCTGTCGCCTAGTGTCACGGGGAGCTCCACCCTGAACGGCAGCTGGGCTGCCCTGGGAGAGCCCAGGGAGGGGTCTGCCCAGCCTTGGAGGAGGAGAAGGTGAAGAGACGAGAGTATAGGGAACTCAGGCAGAGCAGGATGAAGGCGAGGAGGGCTCACTGGCGAGGGCTTCGGCAGCCCGGAAGGGGTGGAAGGCGGCCCAGGGAACTCACAGGGAGCTGAAGCCCCAGCAGCTCCGCACCAAATTTATCCTCAATCACACTCCCCGCTCCTCACAATTAATAGCAGAATTAGAAACAATCAGGGAGCTGCCTAATTACTGTCAATTAGAGCGCGCTAATCAAGCTCCCGTCTCCCACACCCCGCCCGGCGCTCACCACTAAATGTCAAACTTCATTAGAGGCAGACACGCTCCCTCCCTCCCTGCCTTCCTCCTTCCAGACTCAACAGAGGGGCCCCTCGGAGGCCTGTGGAGGCCAGCACAGGCCGTCAGGACAGGGACTCTGGGAAGCGCCCTCAGCTCCCCTTCTCAAGCCCTCCATAGTCACTCCCCCGAAAGGGAGGCTCGGACCTGGATCAGGAGGTGGGGAGAGGCCTGTGCTGAGGGCACCCAGCTCCTTCCTGCAGTCAGAGCTCAGACTGGGGGTTAGTGCTTCTAGGGGGGCGGGGGCCCGTGAAGACTTTTTGGGGGGCACGTCCAGGAAGAGAGTTCATGGGCCTTGGGCCAGGCACTGTGCCCAGCTGGAGGGCAAGTGGGAGGAGTCCGGCTTCGGAGGGGACAGGGCGCACCCTGACCTAGAAAAGGAGGGCAGCGCTGTGCCCATTTCCCTTTCAGCCTGCAGAAGGGCTGAGGGGATCTGGGGCCAAAGGAGATGGGTGAGAGTAAGCGGGGGGAAGAAGGGGGGGAAG